GTACATTTGCAAGGGAATGCAGACATCAGTAAAAGGCATCATGAGAACAAATGCTAGTTAATCATCTTTAGACTGCATTGTCTGCAGCCGTGAAGTCCACTAATCGGTGGAAAAAAGGTCCATTCAACGCGCAGCTGAAGGATATCTTCTATACAAGCAAGCACGAGTGGTACACAAGGTTTGTCTTTTTGTTTGCACTACATAAGGACGTTTATTTCTCAAAGTTTGGTCAGCATGTAAATGTTTCAGAACTAGGGAAGAACGTCTCCGAAGTGTAGCTGCTCCACTCCCTCGTCGAAAATAGAAATTGAATCTTAGAATTATGCATCTGTCACTTCTTCATTGTCGATGTTTTAAAGTTGTAAATCTTGGCAAACTGTCATATGCTAAGGGCTTAGAAGAGCAGAAGAAGTTTGTTGAAATTGTCAAGCAAGCAAAGCTCCAAAATGATGTGTTGTGAGTGCCCTCTCATCTTTGATAATGCTCGCATTTTTAATTTGCATATTTTTCAGAAATTTTCTCTTAGCCGTAGAGCATACTCCTGTTTATACTGTAGGTATACGCTCAAAACTGTACACAGAAGAAGAGGAGTTGAAACTCAAAACGCTCGGCGCTGACTTCTATAGGTATGCATTTCCATCTCGATACTTATCTCTTCAAGAATCGATCACAGAAACTCAGGACTTCTCGTGGCGGACTGATCACATTTCATGGTCCCGGGCAGCTTGTGATATATCCTATATTTAACTTGAAGCACATTGCTCCTCGCCCAGTAGGTGTGAAGAAGTACGTGGAAATGTTGGAACAGGTTACTTTGCTTGGTATAGCGACTGCTTGTCAAATTCATCTATTTCTCCAGGTCGTGATTGATTGCGCAAGTAAAGACTTCAACATATCAAACGTGGGGCGAACCCAGCACACAGGTCAGAAATTCTTACACAAGAGTTACTTAAAACAACCCAACATCTTACATTTGAGGGCACGAATCAGTTACTTTAGCCGTAGTATCTATCTCACTAAATGATTTAGGAGTATGGGTTGGACAAACAAAAAAACTTGCGGCCTTAGGGATAGCTGTTTCTCATGGAGTCTCTTATCACGGTCTAGCTATGAATTGCAACACAGATCTGTCTTGGTTTGATCATGTGAGTTTTCTCCTGCTTGGTTTTTTTTTCTGTAAATACGACGTTTGAGGTGGTTGCTTGTGGAATAGAAGGAGCAGAAGCTACATCGCTAAGTCGCGAATGTGAACGTGATGTAACAATCTCTGAAGCTCTACCCAAGATGGTTGCACAGTTTGCAAGGATATTTGATTGCAACGTAGAATCATAGCTTTTGCCTTCTCATCTGTGGACATGTGATGCATTTTTGAAGGTTCCTATCTCTCAACATGTGATCATTAACAAGACTCTTGTTTGCAAGTTTTCACAAATTCATCAAATGCTCTGAAGTCATGGTTGTAGCCAGGAGTACGGAATGTCGATATTGTCATACCGCATAGATATTGCTCTTAACCATTATTTTGAACGAGAAAGTGAGTGCGAAGTCATCAGACATGCGCATAATGTCGAGAAAAAATAGTGTTTAGAACACACAGAACACAAAAACTAAAAAGGACTAACGCCATAGATGACTTGCATTAAAGGCAGTGGCTTGGCAAATCTTAGCCTAGAAAAATTTCTGCTTACCTGGGGTTTTCCAATGCGC